ATATAAATACATATGCCTTGAAACAAGTGAGAGATGTTTTTCTAAAGGTCACTTAAAAAAATAGTATCCCATGTTACAATCTCGTTTCAACCATCTGTCCTCCACTCTGGCAACTCAATTTCCCTTTCTCCCCATCTACTTTGTCCCTCAGGTAAATAGAGCGCTCATGCCCACCTGTCCACTTGGCTGACAGCCAAGATGAGTCTTCCTGCTCTTCCCAGTTGCTCTTCTTGAGTGGCAATGTGGTGAGTCAAGACAATAGCGCTCTCACACACAGAGAGAGACGGGGGGGGGGGGGGGGGGAGTCAAAGAACTTTTACTTCAAGTCCCGTTTCTAATTTGACTACCCCACCATCAAAGCCTGCAAGATCACAGGCAGGAGAGTGAAGAACCTACTCATTTAAATTAGAAAACAAACTTTTCAGTATTATAAAAGATGCTGAGATGTCCTAAGATCAGAATGTTATGATGCCAGAGTCTGCATGTTTAGCACGGGGTAATTCCAGAATCTGTTGGTTTAGCAGGCAAGATGCAGAGCACTGTTCAGAGGGTAAAGCCAGTGCTGCTCGGGTGGGTTCCTTTGTTCCTCCAATCTCCTCTATCTCTCCATACCCCACTGGTAACACCAACAGGGCAGACAGCGGAGCAGAACCCTCACATCCAGCTCCCCACAGGGTACCCAGTAATCCGATCTCACAAACATGCAGGGCAGAAGGAGGGAGAAAAACCTGCCCACATCAGAAAGAGAGCCTTCAAATTCATTAACCTTCTCACAATGTCAGTCATTTTATGTGTGTTAAGAACACTTTACTACTAGGCTCTAAAACAAATCGTTTCAGGTTAAATGGCTTTAGCGCGTTCCATGAGTGGGATACATACTACAAAGGGCACCCTGAGAAAGCAGCCTTCCCACACTGATCTTCGTTCACCACTTCCCTACCGTAGGAATATAGAATAGTGTGTGTGTGTGTGTGTGTGTGTGTGTGTGTGTGTGTGGTGGAGGTAGAGGACAACTTTATGGAGTTGGACTGCCAGGCTTTCCTGGCAAGGATCTTAACCTTAAGTCATCTTTAGAGCCATTAAAATTTTCTTCAGGTTGATTTTGCCTTTTTGACACAGGTCCTCTCTATTATGAAGCTCTGGCTGTCCTGGAACTGTCTATGTAGATGAGGCTGTCCTGGAACTCACAGAGACCCACCTGCTTCATCCTGCTGAGATTAAATGCTTACACCACCATGCCTGGCTTTTTAAAGGTATATCTTTATATATAGGCAAACAAGAACATAAACTTCACCAAAAACTAAGTTTTTCAGAATACAAGGAAGCCAAGTAGTTCTTAACCTACTAAAGACACACATGCAGTTAACCCGAAAATGGACCTGCCTGCTTTTCCACGGCTGAATTTTCCAGGGACTAAGCCAGACTTTACAGAATATATTACAGTGTGGGACTGAACAAAGCCAGGGAGCTTTAGCTGGCCTGGTAACCCACTACCCATCAAATCACTCACAATCACAGTCGCCTGAAGAGTAGACAACCTACTGCCTCTCAAGACTCCAGTTCTAGACCTAAATTTGATGGCAACCTTAAGATCCTGTTTCTAGGTGGGAAAGGAAAACAAACAAACAAACAAACGAACAAACGAACAAACGAAACCACCACAAGAACAAAGCTCTCCAGCCAGTGGGTGTTTAAAGGACCTTTGCACAGTAAATCAACAGGATGCTGTCCTGCTCTCTCCGCAGCCAGACTGAAATAATACAGCCCCAGCAGAGGTGTGAATTACCCCCATTCATCTTAATGGAGTGTTAACTTCAAAGGCTTGTTTTAACCATTTAAATGCTAAGCTCATGAGTAAACATTGTTAAGAAAAAAAAAGTACAACTTAAACATTCACTCTGAACATATGAAAGTAATTTACGGTCTTGGCATTTTGTCTTTTAATTTAGCAAAGAACTCTCCAAATGTTAGAAGAGTGTGTATTTTGTGCATTTCTTAGTTTTATTTTAAATAGTTATTACCTAATAAATTATGACCATTAAGCCTATAAAGAGAAGGACCAGATTTCCCAGAAAAAAATGCTGGGGTACTTGGACAAGGTTATGAAGGGGCCATGGCTCTTGCAAGCCTTCTCATGGGCTTCCTCGAAATTCACAGAAAATTCTATCTCAAACAGGCGACCAGGCAAGACAGGATGTTAAAGTTAAACTGACCACTGCTATCAGCTATTTTTTTTTTTTTTTATAGTAACTCAATTTTGTGCAGTGCTACAAAGGGTATTTGTTTCTTGCCAAATCTCCCAGGGCACCAGCTTAAGAACAGGTGACAAACGTATTAATTGATGCCCAGCTGTCACCACACTTAACATTTGCCCCTGGGGGCATCCTTGCATCTGTTGTAGATTTAGGGTTATTTTGGTATTACCAGAGTTAAGATTTATTTAAGCAGCTGAACACCTACGAGCATTATTTCATAAACAGAAGAGTAGGTAAGAGTAGCACCGTTGGTGAGCCCTGATGTGAAGCGGGAGGAGAGGCCATGTTTGCCTGTGCTAGGGCATGCTAAGTGCATGCGACCAGCTTCAGAATGGCATAAGAAGTACACAGCTGGCAGGGAACTGTGGGAAAGCACTAACCTCTGCTTCCGGCGCCAGCTCCTGGGGAGTAAAGGCTAAAGAGACTCAGAAGGTCAGTTATGCAAGGAGAAGATGAAAACTCCAAGACCTCCTTCCATGCCCTTGGGCAAATGCCATTTCATTTTACTGCTCCAGATAAGGGATCAGAGAAACAGGACAGACATGTAGTAAGAAAGCCTAGTTGGTCTGCATCTAATTTATCAAAGGCCATTTAATCCTCCGATAGTCATGAAAATGGGTATTCATTCCTTTTCATGGAATTGAAAGTAGAGGCTCAGAGGTTAAGAGTTGAATGGTTTCCTTAAGTCTTGAATCCAGTTCTTCCCAACCCGAAGTGTGGCCTTTCCAATACACCTAGAGCTCTCAAGTTGCCAGCGCTCCCTTTGATCTTTCTAAAAGAGAAGCTCTGTTGCCAAACTTCCAGCCTCTTTCTAAGTAGGAGGCAAGAGGACACCTGCAAGAGTGTGTGTTTCCATATATGCAAATTGTCACTTTGCATGAAACTCCCTACTTTCCAAGTCAACTACTGCAGGATTTAAAAATCTCCCTTTTTAATCTTTATTTTATGTGCATTGCCACTTTGACAGAGGGTGCCAGATCCCCTGGAACTGGAGTTACAGAGAGTTGTGAGCATCTGTGTGGGTGCTGGGAATTGAACCTGGGTCCTCTGGAAGAGCAGTCAGTGCTCTTAACCACTGAGCCATCTCTCCACTCCCTGTTGTAGGATTTTTCACTTCGATATCCTGGCTGTGGCAGGCTGCCAGACATGGGACCCTTTACACTGAATCCTCACAGCAGCAGAGTCCCAGTTTCATGTTTCCAACTGGGAATCATGTCAGAAAGCAACGCACAATAATCCAAACAACACGAGAAAGATCATCACTATGTATGTTTTCTAGGAATAATGTTACACATAGTGACAAACTGAGAAGGTGTGGAGAGCTTTCAAACTTATATAAGTGACAGGAAAATCTCAGGTAAGACTGGGAGGAAGGGCCATAACCAGTAGGGATATCCCAGTTTCTGATGGACATTAACATTAACCAACACTAAGAATCAGTTTTGTATATAAATGTGATACAGTGGCTTCTTAGAAAAACAATTTATATGTTGTGGGGAGGCAGCCCAACTTAAGACTTTCTTAGAGGCTCTCCTGAGAGGGAACTTTAGTTCTTCATCCTTGCCTAGGAGTGGCCTTGGCCAGGCCTGACTAGAGCTGGAGCCAATGCCTCAGGAGTCAAAGTTACAATTTCTGGGAGCTGACTCTTTTCCTGGGCTGTGGTTATCAGTCCTTAGGCAGCTGTATCTGAGGTATCCCATGTTCCTTGCCAACATGTCTGACTTAGTTGTCTGCTGACCTTGCCCCCCTTGCTTCCTGGCAAGCAGTATATACGATGCTGTACTTTGCAATAAACTAGATTGGCTTGGCGTAAGCCAATAGCTTAGACAAAACCTTTTGGTCCCTGCTAATGCTTTTGTCTCATTTACGCCTCATCTTCTTTATGCATTATCCCTGGTCCTTTCTCCTAGCACCTCACTGTTATTACAATACATACTGCAAATTTTAATTTTACGTGTAGGAATAGTTTGCATGTATGTATGCCCGTGTACCCCATGTGTGCTTCATGCCTGCAGAGGCCAGAAGATGGTGTTGATTCCCTTGGAACTGGAGTTACAGATGGTTGTCAACTGTGGGTGCTGAGAATTGCACCTGAGTTCATTGGAAGAGCACTGAGTGCTGATCCATTGAGCCATCTTTTCTTTATATTTAAAAAATGTTGTTCTGTGAAAGCTTGTTAGAAAAACAGAGCCAGACAGTGGTGGCACACGCCTTTAACCCCAGCACTTGGGGAGGGAGAAGCTGGTGGATCTCTGTGAACTAGTTCTAGGACAGCCAGAGCTGCTACACAGAGAAACCCTGTCTCAATGCCTCCCCTCCCCTACAAAAAACCACAACTATCCAACATGCACAAAGAATATGTAAAACTAAACAATAAGCAAACAGCCCAATTTAAAGATGGGTAAAAGGATTAGCCACTCATCTAAGAAAATATGCAGCAGTTGGTCTCTGAAGCATGTGCGATGCCCACCTCACTCTATTAGGGAATCTCAAAGCAGAGATGGTACCACATCAGCTGGGAGAGAGAACTTAGCGTATGACACTGCTGACACCAAATGCTGGAGGACATGGAATTACAGAACACTCCCTCATTGCTGGCAATGATACACAGTGTTACAAGGGCTTTGGAAGAGTTTGGTGGTTTCTTATGAAACAAAACATACATTTACAATGCACCAAGTGTTCCTTTGTGTTGAACCCCCCCCACCCCAAATGAAAACATGACCATGTAAAAACCTGCATGCAAACATTTTCAGCACCTTTATTGATAGTTGGCAAAACTTGGAAGAAGTAGCAAGATCTTCTAAGAGGCGAGTGGATCAACGAGCTTGATACGTCCCTAATTGGATATTATTCAGTATTAAAAGGAAACAAGCTATTAAATAAAAAGTTGGTCTGAGAATGACACAGGGTCCTACATGATCCCAATCATGGCATTCTGGTAAAAAAAAAAAATAAATAAATAAAAATAAAAAATAAAAAAAAAAATCAGTGGTGACCAGGAACAAGCCTGATGTCAGCCTTCAGCATCCCTAGGTATAACATGTGCTGTATTGATGCAGGGGTTCATATCAGGGAAAGCTAGTGGTTAGGACAGGAAGTCACATGGAACACCTCATTTCATTTACTCAATAAAAAAAAATGAAAGCTATTTATGTTTTTAAAGTCACAAATGGCAGGTATGTGCCAGGGTGGTGGCGTACACCTTTAATGCCAGCACTTGTAAAGCAGCAGCATGCAGATAGCCGTGGGTTCAAGGCCAGCCTGGACAACACAGCGAGATCCTGTCTCAAAAGCAAAACAAAACTCACACACAAAGCAACGATTCGACATATTTAAGAACAACATTCTGAGAATTTCTAATTTTTGGTAAAAATTAAAATGACTAAATTCCTACTTTCTGGTGTATACTGCTGCTCTGCCTTCCTTTTCTGGCAGTAATTTTCCTGAGTATAATTCCCATATCCAATGCCTTCCAGAATGATTCCTTCTTGCTTACAGAGGTAAATTATTCTTTGCAATAGAGAATTGCTTTATTTATTGTTGACCCAGTCAAAAATGATGAGTGCCAAACTGAAGCTCCCAACCAAGGTTCCAGTGATGAGCAGGGACAAAGCCTGTGGGGACAAAGACACAGTGAGGGTAAGCCTCTGCCTTTCTCTGAGGCGTAGCTCAGGCTAGTCTCAAATACCCAGCAATTCTCCCGCTCAGCCTCATAAGAGCTGGGGGTACAGGCATGGGCGCCACTCCTGGCAACACAACGTACTTTATATATATAGTAAGGTACATGCTGACTTCTTAGACATACAGTCATAAAAAAATGACAAACTGTTTCTTAAGATGGAAGCCTTAAAGGGAATAGTCGAAAACAACCTACCCCAAGCTTTTTCCACGAGAGAAAATCCTCTCTGCTAAGTTTCAGATAAAATAACCCTGGGAACACAAAAATCAAGCATGTTGAAGTGCTGGCCCCTACAAGGCAGAGAGGAGAGAAACAAGACACTGTTGGATTCCGCTGTGAGAGCACAGATTTTGTTATCCCTTCTATTTTCGCGGAGCTAGAAATCAAATCTAAGAAGTCTACCACTGAGACGCCCTCCCCTGTCCCTTTCATTACATGATTTTTTAAAATGGAAACTTACCAACTACACCAAATACATTCCTAATGTCGGGAACATATATTGCAAGCAAAACAATGATAATGTTGAGTGCTAACGTTGTCAGAGAATGCCGAATCCATGAAAATGGGAAATTTGAGAATAGTATCATCATTAAAGCTTTTCTGGCCTATGTAGCAGAAAAAAAAAAAAAAAAAAAAAAAGAGATTCGGGCAAAAAGGAAGGATCAAAGGCATAACATTTGCTTAGAGAAACACATGTATAGTAACCATAATATTTTTACCCCAGATCATTTATATTCCCCCAGACACAGCATAAACTATCATTATGCAGTGTTTTTACACACAGAAATCTTTCTGAGTGAGCTTCATAAAAATTACTTTGCTTAAATTCCACACAAAAGTTTCACCGGCATTTTTTTTTTTGTTTTAGATTCTGTAATTTGAAAAATTACAAGCAATAACTATGTTATGAAATCACAAAGGACAATTTTCATTAAATTCAACAGGCAAACAAACTTTCAAGCCGGGGGGAAAAAAAATAAACCATGGCATGGAAAAGAAATACCATTCTATTTTATTTCTGTTATCTGTTCTATGGCATGGAAATACAAAACAATAAAATACAATAAAAGGCTCCCACGTCTTCCACTGCTAGGGCAGGTCACTGGCAACCACAACCCGCAAGGACCCCTGGTCCTCCAGTCTCACATGGAGGGACAAGAATTCTGGAAGGTCCTGGTCATTAGACACTCACATGAGTTCAAGGGACCCAGGCAGAAGCATTTCTACCCATTGCCATTGTTTTCATTTTCACAGAAATTCTTCAGATTCTTCTGTGTAGTGACTGGATACAGAATGGGAATCTGCTCCCCCTCTTAAATTCTAGAGCAAGTACAAAGCCTAAGCATGAACTCCCCACGGGAAGCAACCTGTAACAGGCCAAGAGGGGCTCATTTCTGCTGACATGACTGCCTTTGCTTTGTGCGTACTCTTTTGAAAACCGAATACAGAAAGACAGCACCCCCCCCCCAAAAAAAAAGCCACTTTAGAACTATAGTCTCTAAATTGAAAACAAAACTGAGGGAGAGGCAAATCTAAACTAAATCTCAGAAAGCACAAATTAGCTTCGAGGTTTGCTGTTATTTTTGGGCTTTCATGGGACCATATGCTAGTATGGGGTCTTGGATCAATTACTTGACAAATGAATAAGATACACAAGACTAGATGTGACTCAAAGGTTCTGGTCTGCAGAGAATTAGCGTTGCCATCTTAGGGAGTCACGACACTAAGCAACAAAACCTCCAGGCATACTTACAGGGAAGTGGATCAGAGGGACTGTCAAAAGCACAGCAAACAGTATGCACAACTTCACAGCCATGACAACAGCATCATGTGGCAAGTATTTACTATAACCTTGTAGTAATTCTGACTCCACTTTGTCTGTAAATAAATGAAAACAACAGCAGCAGCAATCAGGGTTGCATTGTAAACTATGCGCCACCATATCAATAATAGCAAAATTATTTTGTTGGCTTATTGCATCGTGGCAGGCTTGGATCCCATTCTGAAATTCATTTCTGGCCCTTTTCTCTCTGCTACTTAATATGTTCCTGAGATGTACACTTTCTTCTACAATGTCTTACACTGATTTACATGTTTGCCTGTGCCTGTGACATGGCACACATGTGGGGCTCAGAGGACAACTTGTAGCAGTGGAGTCTCTCCTTCTACCAGGTGTGTCCCCAGAATCAAACTTAGATCATTGGGCTTGGTGGCAAGTGCTTTACCTGGCTGAGACATCTTGTCAACTCTTTTGTATTCTTTTAAAAAACTTTAAATCAGGACACACAAAATCTCCAAAATTAGGGCAAAAAAAAAAATTATATTTAAAGTATCTCCTTAACCAGGTGTGGTGGTGCATGACTTTTATCAAAGCAATGGGGAGGCAGAGGCAGATGGATCTTTGTGAGTTTGAGGTGAGCCTGGTCTACCTAGCACATTCCAAGCCAGTGAGGCCCAGTCACAAAAACAACAAAATAAAACGAAACACAAACCAAAGCAAAATGCCTTAGAACTTGTCCATAATTTTAACGAAAGTGTCTGTAAAATTATGCACTTGTACTGCTAAATTTGGTCACCATGGCAATGAGTTAGGTAGGCTCACAAACACCAGGCAGTTTCCCTGAGAAACCTGGGCGGGGGGGTGGGGTGGGGTGGGGTGGGGGGGGTGGTGGGGGGAGCAGGGCAGAGCATCCCTTACTTCTGTGATAGCTTTCCCTCTACACCAGGGTCTTCTCAAACTTTACAGCATTTTGTGTATTTACTATACTTTCAGGGGTTATAGTCTGAACTATACTATCAGCTTTGTCCGTTTCCATCTTGTATCAGAGAAAATGAAGCGTTAAGAAAATGGCGTCTTTAGTCAGGACAGAGAGAGCGAGGACTGAGAGGTGCCAACCCCGCTTTCCATTCACATGGTTTTCCTCACCTAGGTACCATGAGGAAGAATGAGGGTTCACACCACACCTCAGGACCTATGGACAAAGATCAGTTTGAACTTAAAATACAATGGGGCTTTCTCATGTCACAGAACAGGGTTTTAGGAATAAGACAATCACATTTTAAAAATACAAAATTTGGAGGAAATACAAAACTCAAATATGCCTCTGTTTTTCTAAGTCTTAGGAGATAAGAGGACTCCCTAAAAACACCACAGAAAGTCTATACACCACGAACAAATCTGAGTGGCAGGAAGAAGAGGAAACAAAGAGCTACACTGATTCTACAGTGAAATGGCAATGAGCATTCAAATCCTACTCCCGCTAAAACGTCTCTGGTCTTAGTTCCCAAGTCTTCAGATGACAATAATTCATGGGCCTCAACAGCTACTGAATGCATGGAATGACCAATAGTGTGCTGCCATTCAAAGTCCGGGGAGAGACTTTCTAGAATCGAGATGCAGCATCCTTGGAAGCTCGTGGTAGCAATGGGAACGTGTGTTTTTAGGAAGCAAATGCTTCAGTCAGCACCACAGTGGAGGGTAGCGAGCGAGTGAATGAGGTGGAGAGGCACTGAAGACCCAGCAAAGACAGCACTGCACAGGGTTTGGATATGACAAGCTAAAAGTGCAACTGATTAGGAATTGGTCAATTTTAATTGTCAAAATCTTTGGCATGCCTGTGGGGTTGTCCTGACTAGTATTAGTATAGTTCTTTTCCTTTTTCTTCTTCCTCTTTTTTTTTTTTTTTTTTTTTTTTTCGTTTTGTGTTTCGAGACAGGGTTTCTCTGTTTTGTTTTGGAGCATGTCCGAGAACTAGCTGGCCTTGAACTCACAGAGTTCAAGGAGCCTCTGCCTCCTGAGTGCTGGGATTAAGGGCGGGCGCCACTAACACCTGGTCCGATTAGTACAGTTAAGGTAGAAGACTCAGTGGTGGGTGGCTGGACAAGATCTCATTACTCCTGAGTCTTCTGATGCCACCCAAGCCCACGCCCACCACTGTGCCTTCCCCTCTGTGATGGACTGAATTCGTGAACTGGGAGCCACAATAAACCTTTTCCTCCCTCAGCTGCTTTGTGACCCAGGTATTTTCTAGTGGCAAGGAGGAATGTAACTAAGACAGAAAGAAGAATGTATTGTGACTCAAATTACACACAAGTACAGAGTGGAAAGAAAATACCAGAAACAAAAACAGAAAGCCACTGCTCTAATCACTAAAGTAACAAGGCTCTGAGCTAGGCTAGTCATGATTCATGGGCACAGGAGAAACAAAATTGTTTACAGTGAGTGCTACAGACAAACATTGCAGAATGAAGAATGGACTAGGTATGAAAACTGGGAGGAGCCAAGAAATCTGGATTCTATTTCCAAATCTGTGAGATACTTGGGAGTCTTTGGAGAAATATGGCAAACTATTTTATTTCCATTTTCTGAATCATAAAATGGGCTATTAACACTTCTTGTTTAACAACCTCACAGACATTAAAATGGCCTGGTTACCCAATGTTTGGGCACCGGCCTGGCTCACCAGAGGGACACTTTTCCTCTTCAACATCTGTGATTAGAACCAATATGATTAATGTAGGTTGATACTTACAGATCCCTTTAATCTGACAGAATTCCAATATTAACTAAGCTTTGAGCGTCTGGGATAAAGGTTCCAATCAGCTCCAGAGTATTAAGAACTACATTTACTAAGAATACTACTTCCCCAGGGGAAAACCTTCTGAGCCAGCCCTCCTGTATTAGCTGAGCCTTAACATATGTAATGAACAATTACAGAACACTTATTTGGACTCAGAAAAAGCTTCACCAATTTCAGAAAGGACCTGATGGTGATTTTTTTTTTTTTTTTTTTTGTAAGTCATTTGTACCACTGGTACCAAGGAAGATTTCTGTAAGGGTGCAGCAAGAATTCTGGCTTGCAAGCAGAAAACTGCCTTTCATTCCAGGCCACTTTACCTGTCTGGGATAACACTGCTAACCTGAAAAGATGAATGTCAAGCTTGAACTTCAGGCTAGGCCTACCAAACTAACAACTTCCGGCTATCAGACAGCTCTGACTACACCATTTGCTCACAGTAGAAGGCGTTTCCTGATTATGATTAACAATGGGGGGGGGCACCTACTACAAGGAATAAACTATTACTCCTGTCCTCTACCCTTAGGAGGGCGTTGTCACCCATCTGTTCACTGCCTACCCACTGTGTGATCCTGTCAGCTGTACATTCCTTCAGTACACAGCATGTGAGCGCACAGGGGCTGCGGAGAGGGGCTACGTTAGAGGTACCGGACAGCTTGGCTTGGCAACACAGCGACTCCCTCTCTAGGACACACTTCATCTGCTTGACGAAAACAACAGTGGGTGGATGTCAGACAGGTATGACAGGGACTTAGGTAAGCCGCGGTTTCCTAAAGTTCCCTTTAATTAGGACATGGCAGTGTGCTTTATGTTCTTGGAAATGGCAGAGTGTTGAAAGCACTGGATTCGGAGAAGGGAAAACAGAACCCTAGCTTATGTCCCACGTGTTTCTGGAGGTAGTGGCTTCATCACTCATCCAAACAAACCCGCCTGAGTTGTTGGGTGGCAGGCACTGCGCTCGGCCCGGGCAGCTTGCTTTTCTGGATGATACACACAGAACTCCACTACTCTCAGGATAAAATGCGAGCACAAACTTTGATGAGTGGGATGGATGGCCTTTGTGGGAAGGAACATACGGAATGACTATAATTGTGTCACACGCTACAGAGCACATGCTGAAAAGCTTGTCACACAGGAGGAGGGCTGGGGAGAGGGCTCAGTTGGTACGATGGTTGCCTTGCAGCTATAAGAATCTGGGGTCGATCCTTAGAAACTATGTGGTGGTATGCTGTGGAACAATCCTGTACACTGTAAAAATGTATTTCTCTGATTGTTAATAAAAAGCTGAGAGGCCATTAGCTAGGGTGGATCTGGGGAGCAGAGATAATGCTGGGATGAAGAGGGTGGAGTCAGAGGAGTTGCCAGGAGACATGGAGGGAGCAGGAGATGAATATGCCATGCTAATAAAGGTATGTTCCACGTGGTGGAGCATAAATAAGGAATATAGGCTAATTTAAAACATAAGAGCTAGCAAGTAACAAGCCTGAGCTATTGGCTGAGCATTTATAATTAGTACTGTCTTGTTGTGGTTACCTGGGAGTGACCATCAGGACACAGACAATCTCTGCCTACAGTGCTATGTGCTTATAAACCCAGTGCTGGGAGTCAGACAGGTGTGGTCTCTGCAGCTTGCTGACCAGACAACCCAAAGCCTACTTGTAAATTTCAGGTCCAGTGTCAGACCCTGCCTCAAAAAACAAAAGCAAAAACAAAACAAGGTAGAAGGCTCCTGAACAATGACACCTGAGCTTGTCCCCCCCCACCCTCACAGGTGCACACATGTACCTGTGCATACCACACACACACACACAAGATTAGAAGCATAACAGAGTACCTAAAATTGAGATGATTGTAATAGTTAGGATGATGGTAATATATAGCTATAAACAGCCCTCACATTTGAAAAGGACTACTATGTATCAAATAGTTTGGCAGAATTTTATATAGAGTTCATTTCTGCCCCACTATAACCTATGCAGTTATGCTCATATTATAGATTAGAAGCTGGAGATGTTTGAAGGTAGAGGTTCCCCTCAAGGCCATAGAGCTAGTTAGGGAATGGCAGTTAGTTATATGACCGAGATTTGTTGGATCCCTAAACCGGTATTGCTGTCAAAGGGCCTAGGCAATGTGGTGGGGTAAGAAAACATTGTCTAAAGACTTGCAGCTAGGAGAAACTGGGAGAAAAGTATTAATAAAGTTAGGTCCACAGCTGGTGGCCACAGAAGTCTCAAACCTGAAAGGTGCACAAAGCCATCAAGCAGGTCACCAACAGCTAAGCACCCCAAGTAGTAAGAGCCCTTCACTTGTAGTCACTATAAAAACATTTATAAGCTGAAGAATACATTCAAAACCGGGTGAGCTTAACAGCGTGTGCTAGGATGTGATTGTTTGCAAGTTTTGCTCATATTTTCTTTTTTTAGACTTTGTCTTTGTTCTTGACATTCTTGTTGAAAGAGAAAAAAAAAAAAAAACAAAACCAAAATGAAACAAACAAACAAACAAACAAACAACCCCCACACTTCTCCAAAATCCCCAACAAACTATGCAGGAAACATTTCCAAAATAAGTAAAGGAGAATTTTGTTCATGTTCAATAATTTTTTACAAGTGTCTTTAAGAAACTTAAAGAGAAAGGTCCTGGTGCAGCTGAGGCAGTAATGTGCTTAAGCACACGCTATACAGATGCAGATGGAAGGCAGTGATGCCCCACAGCCGAGGGCTGTACTATCTTCTGCTTTCTAGAGTTGCTCTTTTGTAATTATTGGGGTGGTTTACTCTCTTAACCTCTAAATTTATCATCTAGAGTCTAACATACTGAATATGTACTTTTTTTTTTCTTTTTTCATTTTTTGAGACAGTGTCTCACTATGTAACTCTGGCTATCCTGTACTCACTATGTAGACCTGGCTGATCTTGAATTCACAGAGATCCTCCTGCCTCTGCCTCCTGAGTGTTGGGATTAGAGGTGTGCATCACCATGCCTGGTGCTGGATATGCAATTTTAAAAGATCCAAATTGTTATTTTTAAGAGATATTAATATGCTTGAAATTTTACATAAAAGTCTAAGAAAAAATCTAGGGGCTAGAGAGATGGCTTAGCCATTAAGAACGTGTAGAACTCTCAGAGAACAGGAATTTGACACTCAAGTTGCAGGGGACACAGCCACCTGTTTCTGGGGCAATTCCAGCTTCCTGGGACCTGATGCCTCTTCAGGCCTCCATATGTAATCCACTCACATGTGTGTGTGCACACACACACACATGTAAACATCTAGAAAGAGGGAAAACCTTCCCATGAAGTCATTACTCTTAAGCCTGATACTCCTTTGTCAGAAAAAAGATGTAACAAAGTCGGCGCAGAGCTGACATGGAATATGCGGCCAGACAGATGAATTTACTAGGGAAAGGCGGGAAGAACAGCTACAGGCATGTGTGTGTGAGGTCACTTGTGTTTCCTTTCCACCTAGAGCTAAGAATATACTCACCGTAAAAAGTGAGGTATCCAAAGAGCGCAGACACAAAGTAAAGCAGGAAGCTTAAAGCTATCGCTGTATTGGTCACATTCTGCATCCTCTTCTTCGAGGGGCTGAAACACAAAAACCGGCAAGAGTTGGTAAGGCCAGTGATCCGAATCATACCTGGAGAAACAAGCATCTCTCCGGCTGGTCAGGACGCTTCAGACAACCACGAGTTCATCAGTGACTACACATTAGAGTTCACAAGAGGACATTCACTGGAAAGATGGCGTCACTGGCAACATTTCCAATGAGGACAGAACTGGCTCTTGGTTGCCTTGTCTGTTTTTTAACTAACACTTCTTAGAATTCAGGACGACAGAGAAGGACTCATAAGTGAGAATGTGATTCAATCGGCAAGCCACAGAGGCAAATGCACATTCCCAGCATTCTACAGTACCTTTGAAGCTCACAGTATATGGGCAATATTGAGGTATGGCAGAGAAATGAAAAAGCCATGGTTGGTATGGCGTAAATACTCTGAAAAAAAAAATTTAGAAGGCAAAATCATTAAATGCTACTCCATTTTTATCTGATAACCCACTTGGTTCTTTGTTGTTTTAATTACTCTTGTGTATGTGTGTGCCCACCTACCCATGCCACTAAGCACTTGTAGGGGTCAGAAGACAACTTGTGGGAGCCTGTATTCTCCTTCTACCACGTGATTCCCGGTGTGTAGGGCTTGGTAGCAGGCGCCCAACAATACAACTGAGCCATCTTGCCAGCCCAACAATAAAGTTCTTTTAGGACCAACTTGGTTGAATTTATTCAATCTTTTGTGAATGATCTCTTTATAAGACTTCTCAGAATGGTGTGTGTGTGGGAGTAGGTGTGTGTGGAATAGGTGTGTGTGTGGGGAGTAGGTGTGTGTGTGTGGGGAGTAGGTGTATGTGTGTGTGTGTGTTCTACAGTCGCCAGGAAACACTGAATCTTACAGGTAGGTTGCTTGCTTATCCTGACCCCAACAGTTTCTGGCTGGCCTCTCATATCATGTTGCTTTATTATAATCATCACTTTCTACACTATTTGAATAAGATAGAAATAATTTAGGTAAGATATAAATAGCTACCTCTAAGGACATTTTATTATAATTGCCAGTCATTCTTAAGGTATGCCCAATTTGGATACATCCCATTACCCCAAGCAGCAATAACACTTGAATCTGCTTTTACTTACTCAGTGCAAGTAAGGATTGAAAATAGAAACCACATCTTTGTGCTGCCAGAATCTTTGACCAAGATCCTTTTTAATGAACACAAAGATCATTAATTCTAAACCTGAAAAACTCCTTGCGATCTCATGTAATACATAAACCTATAGTTTCTTTAAAAAATATTATTAGAATACTAAACAAGAGCCAGAGAAAACTAGCAAGCCAAAAAGTTATCCTGTAAATTAAATTACTGTCTTTAACAAATGGATGGCAATGGTTTCTCTTTTCTGGTCTAAAAATATTTTTCCTTAGCTAGCGTTAGGCTATTCACCAAAAGAACTTCCAGATGAAGACCTACTTTGGGGTATAGTACCTAGAAGTTGTGTTCCCTGAAGCTGTGTTAGGGGAATGAGAATTTAAGTCACAAATTCTCTGTTTCATATATTGCTCCGTTTCTCAGCTTGTCAATTACCCTACCTAGATCTTTAAGGCCCGTGGAGGTCTTTACCATGTGAAAGATGTGGTAACCTCCCTTGTGAGGCTTGAGAGACATTTCTTAGAAGCTGGGGATAAAAAGAAAAGTTTTTCATGGAGGACTAACCACATTAACATTCTATACTAATAAAGCATTTCAGCAGAAATACAAAGAGGAGAAGGAAGAGGCTCCCAGAAACAGGAAGACAGCTTTTCCACTAGAGGCAAAGCAGGGCCCATGCAGACGGAGTTCCTGTTTCTCTGCTCATGCTCAGGGGCTCTTCCAAGTGTTTGCAGGATCCTACAGCTCTCTTAGAGTGGCATGGGACTTGGTCTTCTGGTCTCTGCTCTGAGCATCATAAATTCCCTCTTGGAATGCTGTTCAGAAGGAGTACGGCAGTGTTCAACTGCTGGTCCAATGATGGGGTTGTTTAGCTAGAGACCAAAGTCCTTCTCACAGGGGAGGAGTTTTTGATGTAATTGGTGATTTAGCTTTACAAGTCCAGAGCGCAACAGGAAAACCAACCGTATCCACAGAGGACCTCACTGGCCAGACCAGACATTCGGTAAATCTGTTCTTTTAGGCAGTGGCCCATTTAAAACAGGCTCCATTTAAAGGCATGCCAAAAGAAAGAAAAGAAAAAGGTGGCTGTTTCATAATGGGCCACCCTGTGTTAAATAATATTATTCTTCTGGTAGGCAATCCTATACTTAGCACTTTCATGAAAATTAATTAGGTACAGGTATAAAGACCTGAGAGACCCTGTTACACAAATCTCTTAAAACTTGAAATGTGAAAAATCAGCCGAAAGTATCTGTTAATAAGTTACACACCTCTTTGGAGAAGTGAAAGAGCTTTGGTTTACAGTCATCTGTAGCGTTTGAAATCTGTTTAAGAGTATTGAGGGGAAAAGAGAAACCAATAGCGATTAAAAGTCAGAATACAGCAACAAGTATGATGAATTTATTACTACTACACTTTCAAACCAAATTACTTCAAAGCAAAGTTCTAAAATAAAATGTAACCATTTCTTTTTCATTAATTAGAAAAAAAATCATTTATACCCTCCACCCCCGTTTCTTTTTTAGCTGAAAAGTTAAAAATAAAAGAACCTAAAAATGATCACCTGGAGCGCTTCATCCATGCATTTTAAGGTCACTGGACAAGGGATGGACCATTTTTTAATTACTACCTGTAAAAGTAGATACAACCAACACTCAGATGATCTGTAGTAGAACTCACCACAAGTTGATCTCAACCAGGACAGCGTTTGAAATGATGCCAAACGGGAGGCTAACAGACGAATCCTTGCCGCTCCAATCTCCTCCAGATACAATGGGGTCACCCTTTAGCATGGTCACTGGGTAGAGAGGGAGGGCTCAGGGTACCTCACCTCTGAGCAGTGGGGAATCTTGCTTACGAAAGACAGTGTGCTCTTGCGTCAGTTCCCAGAACCCCAGCAGTACTCTGGTTGTTTGTTTGTTTGTTTTGCTTAAGTGCAACTCCAAAGGGAAGCATGTTTCCAATGAGGACTGCACAGGATATGTTCTTTGTGTCAGCAGGAGACAGGGCTGGCACAATACGCAGATGGACAGCAGCTTTAATACGGGAGTGTGACCTGATGCCCACCCACGTTCACCTCTTCACGTTTTTTATGTTTGTGTTATTTTGGTCAATGTGGAGAGAGCTAGCTAGAATCTGAGCACAGAGCTAGGGACCTGCAGGTGGTAGAAATAAATGTACAAAAAAAAAAAAAAAAAAAAAAAAAAAAAAATGAAAAAGAAGCCCAGAGGGATGGCGTTTCCCAGAAACCATCAATGAACATGTTTCAGGATTTGACTCTTAATTGTGGCCATCCTGTTCCTAGAGCCACAGTTGTGGCTGTGTCAACGCTGCCATTGTAGCCCTTGTTGCAGGCACATAATTACTCTGTAAATATTTGCTTCAGGCTAAATCCCAGCATACAAAGGGGCAGAGAGAAGAAAGGAAGCATTTGTCTGCAGGAGACCAGTAAGTAAATACTATTCCTATTTGCAACTTATCTAGTTTGGGATTTTAACAAATTCAATCAAAATTTTATACAGTGATAAATCTAAAGAAAACACATACTTTTAGGATTAAGTTAATGAGCCAACCCCAGTCACTTTTAATTTAAAATCTCACCAAAACATGGGGTGGGAATGTCTAAGGAGAAACTGGGTATTTGCAGGTTAAGTTTTCAATATAAAACCAAGTTTAACCATCAAAAGAAAAGAACAAACCCAGAACCAAGATCTCATCTTTTTTTCTTCCAAAAGCCTTTAGAGAGAGGGAGAGGGAGACAGAGAGAGAGAGAGGGGGAGAGAGAGAGACAGAGAGAGAGCGAGAGGGAGAGGCAGAGGCAGAGAGGGACAGAGAGACAGGGAGAGAGCAAGAGGGAGAGAGAGGCAGAGAGAGACAGAGAGACAGGGAGAGGCAGAGAGAGAGAGACAGAGAGAGAGGGAGAGGCAGAGAGAGACAGAGAGACAGAGAGAGGGGGGAGAGAGACAGAGAGAGAGAGAGAGAGAGGGAGAGGCAGAGGCAGAGAGGGACAGAGAGACAGAGAGGGAGGAGAGAGAGGCAGAGAGAGACAGAGAGACAGGGAGAGAGAGGCAGAGAGAGACAGAGAGAGACAGAGAGAGAGGGGAGAGAGGCAGAGAGAGAGAGACAGAGAGAGGCAGAGAGAGAGGGGAGAGAGGCAGAGAGAGAGAGACAGAGAGAGGCAGAGAGAGAGGGGAGAGAGGCAGAGAGAGAGAGACAGAGAGAGGCAGAGAGAGAGACAGAGAGGCAGAGAGAGAGGGGAGAGAGAGGCAGAGAGAGAGGGGGAAAATCTGGTCTCTCTTGTGCCTTGCTGATGTCACTCCAAAACAGTGTCCTCTTATTGGGACCTTCTACAGCAATGCACTTACTGAGCACCGCTGAGGGCCAGGCCACGAGGTCAGGCCTTGAGCCCCACGTGGGCACTACCCCCTCTCCTTCTTGCTTGGTCACCTGCTACTTCAGAAGCCTTCAAGTCAAAATCCTTGCAAAAAAAATTCTCCAAGATACAATACAATCTATTTCATTCATTAGAAAGAATTATTAGCAACCTAACTTTACACTAACATAACTTGGTTACAGCTAATTTCTGTGCAAAGAGTCATTTACCTATCAAAGATGTCTGGGGGGGGGGACAGCCAGAAATGCAGAGACGAGAGGAATGGACAGAGACCCACCAGCAAGACAGGAGAGTGTCCCACGGTAAGAAGGTAATCCTGGGAGATGGAGAGACAAGAAGATTGACTTTAAGCACTTAAAAATACTAAATGCACTCACACAAAGGGCCTTCCTCCTCCTCCCTGCTCAAGCCCTACTGACCTCTGCAGGTCAGCTCCAGCTTTAATTCTTTCCAAATCCCTTACAGAGCTCTCAGCAACTCTTCCCTCCTCTCAACCCTAGTGACTTGTTTCAAGGTGACCAAAAAGGTAAAAAAAAAAAAAAAAAAAAAAAAGGCATCTGTTATGTCATATTGAGTCAATGATAAAATGAAATTTATTTTTAAACTTAGATACTCTCAAGGGAAAACTGACACTGTGATTCTAAATGAAAATCACGGTCTGTGAGAAAAGCTAGTAGAGATGCTTTGATCTATGAAGCTCGACGAATATAATTAAGAAAATGTTTTCTGGATTGATTGCATAAAAGGCAATATAAATGCAATAGACTTATACATGCATGTTCTAAAAATAATCAATGAACATACTGGCACAGGTTTTGAAAAAAGTCAGTTAGCTGAGCATGGTGGAGCACACCTTGATTTCTAGTTCCCAGGAGGCAGAGGCATGGGCAGATGGTATCTGTGAATTCTAGGCTAGGCTGATCTACACACAAAACATAGAAACAGAATCTGTAATACATATGGCAACAAAAGGCAGCATTAAAAAAAAACCCAACATAATCTTCATAGTCTCATTGTAGACCAAATTTCAACTTTTCTCACAGGTAGAACTCTAAGCGGATGATTTGTAGAACATCACGATAAATATAGGAGAATTATTTCCATATGATGACCGAAGCAGAAATCTGCAACGAATTAAAGAGTATCTACTATGGCAGAAACAAAAACTATAATAGACATATTGTATCAATACATTTCACCTATGTTAGGCTATTGACTGTGAAAACTGAATTACTTCTACCTATGAAATGCCTGCCTTGTTGAATAACTATGAGAAGAAAATTCAGTATGTTATCTACACTCATTTGAGAACCATACATTCCTATGTGTATGTGGGAAACCTTTTAACCATGTAGATGCTTTTGAACAATTACCTTATGATGAAAATACTTAGTTTCTAAAGTATGGAACCTAAAAAATACATGCTCAGTTCATTATTTGAATGGCATCGGGGTGGGTAGAGGGATAATTTTTATGTAGGTAAATTCAACAAATGATCAAGCATTGTTAAATATTTTCAGCCTTCAGAACATTCTTTACAATATACGTTTATGAATAGTGAAATCAGAGTTACTCGCACTTATTTTAGTTGTTTTATCCCATGTCTCAGATGATTTAAGTCAAAGACAAACGTAATGCAAACATGACTGATGTGTGTATATATACATGGTATGTGACTGCATGTTTGTGGGGCTGTGTGTGTTGGTGTATGTGGCTGTGTTTGTATGGAGCCTTGTGTGCACATGTGTGTATGCACACGTGGAAGCCAGAAGTCAACGTTGGGTGTCATTCTTTAGGAGCCACTCATCTTGCTTTCTGAGAGTCTCTCATTGGCCTAGAGTGTACCAGGTAGGAGTAACAAACACTATGGATGGAACTGTCTTCCCAGTCCAGAGACCGTTTTGACAGTTTTGGAATTTGGCTCTCTAACCTGATGTGTGACATTACCCCTTGATTCATTTATCAGTAATTAAGGGAAAGCTTAAATACTTAGAAAAAGGTTACTTGGAATGTGTGTGTGTGTGTGTGTGTGTGTGTGTGTGTGTGTATGCATTTGTGGCAAATTAAAAATATTTAATCCCATGTAAGGATCAGCACTTAGATACTCACTATGGGATAAACTACAGTGCAAAGAAAAAAAGTTATTTTTAAAAAATTATATACAAGGACATATCTGTCTTAGAAGAATTAAAAGGCCATAAATTAAAATTATCTTTTATCCTTATGTTAAATTATTTATAAATATAAAACAAGTTAAACTGTCATCTGATGTAATATGTAAAATAAAACTAATTAAAACTACATTTTCTGCATATGAAAAAAAATTAATTCCCAATACTACCTCTATGAGGACACCCATGCTAAGTAAGCAGACTGGACAGGGCTGAATGCATATCCCAGCTCTCCTTTGCTATCAAGTCTCAGAAGCCATCACTGGAGCAATGGAATAAAGCATCAGGGAGTGCTGTGTTCACTGACTGTACAGAGCACAGCCCTTCTGCTTCTCTACCGAGTGCTGTGCTGTCCAGGGGTCTGTCCCATCCAGAGTCTTAACAGCAGGGCTCTGCGTCCCTCTCTGCTAACCACAAGACACTAAATTTGAAATGCCCTTTTAAGCTTCTTTAAAATGAACAAAATGAATAATTCTGTGACCAAAATTGTTTGAAAAAAAAAAAGAGTGTTTTTATAATATAAAATGGGCTACTGTGCCCAGCACAAAGCCATTAAAAGATGTCATTAATACAGTTGCAGTTTTGTGATGAAATAAACAATGTATTATATTTTAAACTTACCACAAGAGCAAAGAACACCATAAAGAAAAATGATAAACTGCTTGTGTAGCCAAGAAAGCCTGTAAAATACCAATAAAATAAAAAGCAATTTATAGGGCAAGTGATCCTGATGCACAAATAGGGCCCTGCATCGCGGGCATGTTTTCTATTGCAGCTTGGTATCTGGGCCCAGGGCCCGTCTGTCACAGATCATTATGCTGCTCCACACAGCAGAACAGGGGCTGGCTTGCCACTGGTGGTGTACTACAAGAGAAAGCCGCTCCTTCATGCTCTGGTGTAACGACTTCATTTTAGTGGGGCAGACAAAATGCTGCCACAAGCCAAGTAATAAGTTAGCTGGGCAGGGCGGAGGACTGAGCAACTGAAAATAGACTTAGTTTAAAATGATTTGCAGACACCACTCTTCTAAAAACAAGGTACTGTGAAGCCTGAAGGCCTCCTGCTCTCTGTTCACTCCCTCCCTTGTGAGGCCCACCCCCACCCCAGCAAACAAATCCTGTGCTCCTTCACAGACTTACCTATTTTGGGAAGAAGAGAAAGGGGCAACACGATGCCAACACAGATGAGGAGTAGTAGTGTCTGTCCATCAAGATACCAAGAACTAGTAGGAAGAACAATCTGTGTTAGGCACAGGACATGGAACTCATTCATGTCTATTCTAACACACACATACATGCACGCGAGTGCGCGCACACGCACACACGCGCGCACACACACACACACACAGAGAGAGAGAGAGAGAGAGAGAGAGAGAGAGAGAGAGAGAGAGAGAGCAATCATCCATTAGGAAAAAAAAACCTATCATTTTGTTAAGTGATCTTAGAAAAATCTTTCTTTTATTTGTTTGTTTATTTATTTAATGTGCGCTGGTGTTTTGCCTGTGTGAGGGGGTCAGACCCCTGGAACTAGAGTTACTGGCAGTTGTGAGCTATGGGTGCTGAGACCTGAACCTGGGTCCTCTGGAAGAGAAGCCAGTGCTCTTAACCCCTGAGCCATCTCTTCACACACCACTGAAAAAACCTTTTCTTGTTAATCATGAATATGCATTTAGAAAATAATGTTAATATAATCCTGCACTCTCAGGAGTTGGGAGGCAAAGGCAAAATCAACAGTGTGAGGCTGCTCTGGACTAGATAGAGCATGTTTCAAAATAACACCTAAACGAGATGCCATTTTCAATCACCAAATGAACAAACACTTAAACATGAGATAATAATCCATGTTGGTGACGAGTACTGAGGTATGCCAAACACCGTTGAAAGCTAGAACTGTAATAATTATCTCATGAAAAGCAATTTCGCAAAAGATGCTGAGAGCCTTCATGTAATTATGCTCTATAACACAAAATGCTATTAAAAACAAACACCAGTAATAGTTATAAAGATTTTTTTATAAAATAATACTTGAGAACATTAAAAATAATGAAAATTTAAAAAGTAAAAAATAGTGAAAACTGGAAGCAGACAAGTATCTAATACTACAACTTGGAAGGAATTTCTATAATCCATATGTGTATGTAGTTTAACGTTATTTGGAGAGAGAAATACAGATATTATTAAAAATGGGCAGGAACTTCACTGTTTCTGGGCGATAGTCATTTTTTTTTCTCTTCATACTTTTCCACATTTTTCCAGAAGGGATATGAATTACCAGCTTAAAACACTAAACTTTTCTCTAAAGGGCAGTAGACTACTGAATGAGAATAGTTAGTAGTGTGATCATGTGCTTGTTAATAAAAAAGAAATGTGGGCCCGAGAGCCCATCAGTAAAGCACCTGCCTTGAAAGCCTCAGGGATTGCTTTTGATTCATACCTCCTAAAAAACAGCCGGGCACTTGGCACAACACCGGTGCATGCCAGGGACTGGGAGGCGGGCTTGCTGGCCAGGCAGATCAGCCTTGCAAGCTAGTTTAAGGATAACGAAAGACACTGTCTTAAAAAGAAAAGGAAAAGAGGTGAACAGCACCTGAGAAACGACACTCCAAGTTGTTCTCTGATCTCCACACATATGTGCGTACACATGCATACATGTGTGCATACACATTCATGCACACATAGGAAGAATGAAAGACACATTTCAGTACGCGAGGGAAAAGTAACACTCTGAATATATATGTATATATACACACACACACACATACATACATATGTATACATATGAAGTCAGAAGGATGTACCTAGAATACAAAAATGGCTATTTCTATATGGTAGCAATACATGGGAACACGTGTATAATTTTAATTTCTTAATATATCTAAATGTCAAAGTTAATTTCCCAAGACCTTAATACGTGCACACTTGAAAGACAATTAATACAAGAAATACAACCAGTAAATATATATATATGTATATATATATATATATATATTTATGAAGAAAAATCTAATCACAGTTGCCAATTAAGTGTATCTATCCTGAGATTATTGAAATTAAATTATAAATAGTCAAAGATGTGATATAATTGGCCCACAGGTATTACTATGTCATTGTTCAATTAGGACTCTCTGGGAAAAGAATGGTAATATGTAACCAGCACAATGAAAGCACAGTGGCAATTAACTAAGAAAACCAGCAAAACATATAAACACAATTGGACCACATTTAGAAAATAAAATCCAGGATAGAACGGGATTGGGAAACATCAAAAATCAATAGGGATTCCTTTAGCAAGTGCTTGGTAGATGATTTCAATCTCCCTCTGTGGTAATCCATCCTCTCACTATCAACAGGTGGCCAGCGTCCCAATGCCCTGTCAAATTAAGAGAGTCTCCCTTTGCCTGGGTGTCAGAGCTGGCTTCTAGCATGCCCGGCCTTTACTGCTGAGTGCATATCATTACAGCTTGGCATGTGAAGACCTCCTTTCTGGTACCTTCATTCATTTCTGCTGGGCAGTGACAACCTATTTAGTAGAGCAAGATGAACAGTAGCAGTACAAATAGGACCTTGATCATACCTTCCCCTGTCCTGTGCGCGCGCGTGCGCGTGCGCGCGCACACACACACACACACACACACACACACACACACACACACACACACACACACACACACACACTGCCCACTGTGCTTTAACTCCTGTCCTTAGCAAATTAACCAGCAGAAGCTACAAGTGATGACAAGTGTTTCTGCTCTGCAGGGTCTGATGCTGCCTCAAAGCCTGGTGTGCAGGAAGAGCTACAAAAGCAACCATATAATAAATATAAACTGATGCTCAACATGCTCATCTTCTAATCACTCTTGAATAAAAAACCAAATAGGAACTTCAAAATAGCCCTCACCAAGAAACACCTGGCAACTAAATTCTGAAAGTGGCAGCAAGCCCGGGGCTCTGTGTCTGAAATGTCTTTTCTTCTGGGACCTGGTATCAGACCCAGACAGTTGCAGTGCCAGTAGGAAATGGCCCCAAGGGAATAGCGGAGCAGATTCTATCTGTTAGCACTGCTGTTCCTGCTGGATAACAACACTGCATTGTATACTGAATATCTGTTAAGAGGGTACAGATTGTGGTTAATGTTCTAATCATAAAAACAAAGTAAAAATGCTCACAGACCGACCTGACCCACACCTCCTCTTCTCTGTTTCTCTTTTTCCAGACAGGGTTTCTCTGTATAGCCCTGGCTGGCCTTGAACTCAGAGATTCCCCCTACATCTGCCTCAACCACCTGGCGCAAACTGACTCTTTAAGAGGAAAAAACGAAGCATTGGGAAGGTGGAGTTGTATAAAAGGGTGTTAAGCCACAGGACCACAATGTCCCCTTGCATAGAAGTAAAGGACCACTAAAATCCTGAGGCAGGGCTCTATGTGTGACCCGAGGGTGGGATTGGTGTACATCTGGAAGAGTGGCCTGAGTGACAGAGCCCCGGCTGTAGAGTGTGAAGACATCGGACTGGCAGAGCTCAGGAATGCTTGGGCTGGAGAGGGCTCAGAGGTTACCCTGCTGAGCATCTTCATTTCATGTGTCTGCAAAAGCCATAAAAGGACCACGGGCTGGTGAGAGTAGCAATTGCAAACACTCCAAGCCTCAGGAGCTACCCTGAGTTTACAGCATTTTTCCCAGATGCCCACTAATCTATTTCAAGGTCACAATTCATTTTCTCTTTCAGGCTGAACTTAAAATCTTCATAGGAAAGGATTTTATTTTAAAACAGAGTTTTTCTAGGCCTGGAGATTAGTTATGAATCGTTTCTTATAGTTATTGACTGATGTTAATAAAACCAGTTGTTAAGACAATGATCTCATTTAATTCATTCATTATCAATAAGGGCCTTGAGTTACACACAGTGGAGTGAATGAATTTCACATGCATGTACCAGACAAGTGCACTGTGTTTGGACATGGAGATAGTCCAAAGAACAGATGAGATTAAACCTAGTCCCAGAGAATACAAACCAGCAATAAGCAGTCTTAAAAAAGTACCCTGTAAATGCATTTATTTTATAAATCAAGATTTTAGGAAAATTTACTGCACTTTTTTTTTTCTAAGAGGGGAAAAGGAATTATCTAACCAAACTCCTGTTTTCCTACTGTGACCTAAATATACATTCTCTTTAAGCCAAAAGAATTAGAGTAAAAAGTTTTATACTTCCTAGAAAACTTGTTTGATCTGTGGATTTAATCTTATATGATAAAAACGCTCCAACTATGAAACACAGAGTATAAATCCTTAGCTGTATTGCAAATGTTTGGCACGCAGATGTTTTTTCCATTTTTAAATGAAAACCAGATTTATTTATAAGTTGCTTTAATTTCATTCTCGAATAGAATGGAACAAGAGTATCGTGTGTTCTCAATTAGGATCTTGCTCACATCCCATATCAATTATGTAACTCAAATGCAAGACAACTTAATTGTGTCAATCATAGTCCCCTGACAAGACCATTAAATGTTAACAGATAGCTCCCAACTTTTAACAGCTATAGATTTAAAAAAAAAAAAAAAAAAAAAAAAGCAAGTTATTCTAGGAAAAAGATAGATGTATCCTGAGTTTGGTATAATCATTTCTGTTCTGGATTTCCAATAGTAACTTTTGAAATTAGAATATAATGAACACAAAGTGATTTGACAGCATCTTCATGAATTGTTATAGTTCATAAGTATACATCATCCTCACAGATAATCCAGAAAATAAAGGCACCTGAAAGACCTTAACTGAAACTTACGATAAACTAAACCCTAAAATGAAGAAATCCCTGCCACCCAACACCATCTAGAAATAAACTGTCCCAAAGCAACATTCATTACTGCATAGTTGTTTCTGACTTTACGAGGTTAGGCTTTAAAAACTAATGCCCTGTAGCTAATTAATATACTCTCTTCATAAATGGATAAGTTGCATGTAAAACAATGTGAGTATCAAACATGTTATGGGCGAAAACTGGTGATGGCCTTTGAGGCATGCAGCTTGGAAAAGCCCATTTGTGATAGAAATAGAACATTTCCTTAAAATTTTACCAATACAACTGAAACGAGTTAATTTCAGTTGTTTAAAACAAATGCTAAAACAATATACACACCATGAAATTTAAAAGGAACAATGCTTTAGCTGACAAAACACCTCTGTTTTAATACCAGTCCTGCTACACAACACTGTAACTAGTTCTAAAGTTACTTAAAGCATGCTAATAGAAGTCACCACGTTCAGGACCAAGCAAAAGATAAACAGACTACACAAAGGCAAACTCAGGTGACACATGAGTTCATTTGTGTTTGACTCTGAGCTTCCTGGAAATCTGCATAAAAAAGGAAAGTCTACCTTTAATATAATCGTTGTCATTGGAATTTCCCTGTTCTCCACACTTACACTGTGCTAGATATACTTGCAATTATGCACAAGTGTGCCCTCTTATTTGATCATCATAACTCTAATAAGGAAGCAACTAAACAAAGGTAAAGTCATTGGTTTGCTTTGTTTTTTTGAGACAGGGTTTATCTGTGTAACAGCTCTGGCTGTTCTGGAACTCGCTCTGTGGAACAGGCTGGCCTTGAATGGGAGAGATGTGTGCCTCTGCCTCCTGAGTGCTGGCATTGAAGGTGTGCACCACTGCCCAGCACCCCTTTTTAATGATTTATTTATTATTCTATATGCTTTGTTGTTTTGCCTGAGTGCTATGTCTGTCTATGTGAGGGAAGCAGATCCCCTGGAACTGGAGTTACAGAGTTGTGAGCTGCCATGTGGGTGCTGGGAATTGGACCCAGGTCCTCTGGAAGTGCAGTTGGTGCTCTTAACTGCTAAGCTCTCTCCAGCCCTTTCAGAATGCTTGTCTGCTTTTGCATTTTTCTTGTATTAAGAATTGAACCCAGGGCCTAGGGCATGCTAGGTGAACACTCTGGAGTCATACTCCCAGCCCTCATAGGTATCCTCACAACATCAGGTAAAGAAACCTACAGCTCACGACAAGTTAGATGGTCAAGAGTTAGTTAGATACTTGAGGCTAACAAGCATGAAATGAATAGGCATATTCATGTTTTCTTTCTATTCTTTATTACATTGCCTTGAATTCTTAGCTCCATGCACAAATTTCTCACTTAGTATTCAAGTAACAAAAGTAGTTCTTACTATTTTTACAGAAAATACAAAAAAGTATATTTCATACAGCTACTTCTTAAGAGTAGTTAGCTGTCAAACAGAACATAATCAAAATGCCACCAGATTAAATTGAGGTGGCTGTGAGCACGCTACGAGACCCTAATGAGCTATGAAATGCCACGGGAATGAGCATCTTCTGAGGATGAAGACAGTAAAGGACTTTATTACCCTCATTTTAACCACATCTTCACAGTTCCTCTTTAGACCAAAAGAAACTCATACCTTCCTTACACACATCCATTTGCACCTATTCATTTCTTTAAGAGAATCGAGCTTTTCTAAGCTAAAAACAAAATTCTGAAGTATTCCTCTGTATTGCAGATAAGTTTGGATACTGGAGAAAACTAACCAAACATTCCAGTCCAGAGACAGGGCATCCTTTGTTGTGGTTTGAAAACTGGGTAGAGAAATGGGACAATTAACAAGCTTAACCCACATTTACTTTTATTTTCAAGTTTATTTCTCTGAAGAAAAAAAAAAGAAAGTCTTGCTCCTTGCTTTACATATCAAAAAGAAAAGTATAATTAACTTGGGATCCTTCTCCATAAGAAGAGCTAGGTCAATACATTCTGTAGGGCCCTGTGTTTTTAAAGGAGACAGAAAGTATGTTGTGGTTCAGTATTATTCACAATACTAAGAAAGGCAAAGCGAAACAGGTTTCACCCATAATTCTTTATGCTGTCTAACATGAGTTTCACATAGTGGATGCAACCATATTCTTTGTCACCACAACTTGCTGAGAAGTCACGGCAAACATGACTCACTGTCCCTTCCCTCCGTCTTTCATATCCTTAGATGGCTTCTTGACTCTTCTCCAAGAGCTAATTCGGGCTTGACTTGGCCTTTACCCTCACGGAGCACCAGGGCCTGGAGCTTCGGTGGTTGGTAGCATGGTGCTCTGGCACGGTGGGTTGTCAGTGGACACGTACACGAACACAGGGTTTTCTCTATCGGTGTCCCACCCCATGAAACCTGTAAGTGTCCCGAGGACAGGCACTACTTTTGTTTCCCCTGCCACTCAGGTTTAATAAAAACATAATGAAATGAATGAATGAATGGGTGGGTGGATACAATGGAACATTTCTTCTTACCCACTGTGGTCTCCAGGCAAAAATTCTGAAATAGCAGCAGGAAGCTCTGTTTTAATAATTAAAAGATAAGACGACATAGCTGCAAAAAGAACAAAAAGGGTTCCTATTAGAATTTTAACCACTCAATGGGTAATCTATTCGGAGACACAGATGCGCCTCAGATCTATACAGGAGATACCTCACAATGAGCTAACCCAAACACGCGTACAGCAGAAATGAAGGTAAGTGACTGTGTAGAGAAGAATTGGTAAGTTTATCACATAACCTTTGTTTACACTGCAAATCGGAAGACAAGAAAAAAAAGGGGAGGAGGATTTTGTAATAGGTTATTTATAATAAAATTGTTTCCAGCACTCAGGAGGCAGATCTCTGTGAGTTCGATGTCAGCCTGGTCTACAAAGTAAGTTCCAGACAGCCAGGACCACACAGAGAAATCCTGTCTCAAAAAACCAAAACCCAACCAACCAAAAAGAAAAAAAAAAAACCCCATGTTTAATAACTATAATTAATAACTGATCACTTGCTCTTTTATTTAACTGGGAAGAAATACCTTCTGCAGAAGCTCAATTCCCTCTTTCTCTTCCTCTCTCTGCTACATACTATTACAAGACATAAACAGAAGAAACAATAAATTAAAGCTGCCCTCTGATTTACTGCATCATTCGGCCTGTTAAGAAGATAGAGGTTCTAATCCTTGCTCCATCTATGTAAATCAGAAACCAAAGCCAGTTGGGTGGTGGCATACACCGTTAATCCCAGCACTTGAAAGCAGAGGCAAGTGGATCTCTGTGAGTTCGAGGCCAGCATGGTCTACAAATCAAGTTAGAGGGCAAGAGCTACACAGAGAAACCCTGTTTTAGAAAGAAACAAAACGGAAACCAAAGCCAGTAGTGCCACTCAGTTTTTATCTGATGGCACATGAGAAATAACTAGCTTTTATTTCACTTAAAGACACAATTCCTCATTTGTCATTAAAACTCATGCTGGGGTTGGAGAGATGCTCAGTGCTTCACTCCCAGCATTGCTGGGTGGCTCACAACTGCCTGTAACTCCAGCTCCAGGGGATCTGACGCCCTCTTCTGTCCCCCACAGGTACCTGCGCTCACAAATAATTCTGCAAGCCTTCTACCGTAAGTACGGTTGTGGAGTACAGAACTCATTTTGGCAAATACAGAAGGAGAAGCTGAAACACTCCTCAGCTGTGTGGAGACCCAGCTGTCTGGAATCAGACCTTCAGTTTAACAGTTTTCCTCAGGGATGGATCGAAAACACACACACACACACACACACACACACACACTTTTTAAAAGAGCCAATGAAAAATAAAAACCACCCTTGAAGACTGACGAGTGTATTCTATGTGCACACTGCTTTTATTACTTATTTGTATTTCAGGAAACATTCCACTTTCTCCTTGGACTTATAAAAGCTAAGAGCACCACTGAGAGCCAGGTCTGAACAATGAAAGTCTGGAGGAAGTTGGATTAAAAGGTGCACAGTTTAAGAACAGTGAGCATTTCTGTCAAGCTGTTGGGAAGCAGCTGCACTCTGCAGTTATAACACTGTGATGATTTAGCTCTGGAGAAGAACGAGGCACATTAGCCTGCAGGAGGAGCAATTACCACATGCACAAATACAGTCATTTTTTTTTTTTTTTTTGGGTAAAGTAACAGGTACCGATGGTAAAGTTAAATTTAGAACACATAAGTAACAATCACTTTTCTGCAATGAAAACACATACCCATATCTTATAATTTAAGACTATTTCTTTTTCTCCAGAAGAAACATGGCTGCTCACCAAGAGCCACAAAGACGTGCCTGCAAGTCCTTAGCTGTGGCTACTACAAGCGACTGGATGTGGATGTCTCCTACCTTGCTCTGTTTTCTCAGAGGAAAAATACCAGTAGCTGAGCACAGGAGGGAGGGAGGTCTATGCTAACCTCTTCCACTCAAAGGTTCGGAGTTGTCATAGCAGTTTGTTTTCCAAAGAACTACATGTACATGATATGATGAAGAAATAGACTCGAGTTTTCTGAAACTGGCTTAGAAACTACTTAAACATATCTCGAGGGAAGGAGGGGATAAAAAGACAAAAGTACACTCAAACACAAGGAACACAGACTTCGGACTCAGGACTTTTATTATCCGCTCATCAGTCCTTTTGCTGGGACTAATCTGACACTGTATGCATTTCTAAAGTTTCAGACATTCAGCTCTCCCAGTAATTTCCTATTTTTTGATCTTTAATTGTAGAAAGGCTACAATGAATGTGAGATTATATTTCTTTCTCATATACAATCTGTCATTCTTTCCAGAATTTCTATTAGCCTCTGGCTAATCACTCGATCACGGCTGTGTTGTAGCCTTCACTCTTTGGTTTTCAAATGGGAGTCCTGTTTCACTAGATTCCAGTCTGAAGAGCCATGTGTACTTAAAGAAATACGAACTCACTAGACATATGTTTCTTTGTTAAAAAAAAAAAAAAAAAGGGCCTCTCAGTATACATGAGTATAATAAAACATGTGAAACCCTGCTTCTTCCTTGGAGAATGCTGGCGTGTTTTAAGAGCTACAAAACCACAGAGCCTACCATGGGGAAAACCCCACTGGTTGAGCAAGTAAAACAAAGAAATCTCACTGCTAAAATTACTTTTTCTTAACCACAAATAAATTTTCATGTAGGTACTACCATCTTAACATACAGTATATACTACTGAGAACAAAAGATTATTAGATACACACCGTTAGGAAACACGTCTTAATTACAGCCACATCAAAAGATCAAGTCAAAAAAGTAAGCTGAGAAAAGTGTTAAGAAAAAAATAGTAACAGCAGGAAAGCTCATATATTCACTGTTTTTAACCAAAAGGTCACCAGGTCGAATAGCTCCTTGCCACGCCTTCTGTCCTATGTCTTCTATTAATGGCACAAGAAAATGCTTAAGACTTATCTTGGAGACAGGTCATAAGCAAGAATTTGTAAATGATTTTAGCTGGTATCTAGCCATGGTATAGATTCTGAATACAAGACACACTATGCTTCTCCCAAATTAATGGCTGTACCCCGCATCATCCGTAAGAGCCATGGTTACAGTAGAACAGTTCGGGCTTCCACAGCACTAAAACCAAGATCTGTACTACAAAATACACCTTGATGACAGTTATCACTCATTCCAAATCATTTAGTTTCACCACATTAGTTGAATAGGTGTTCTTTTCCCTCATTTTAAATGAAACTACCCTGGAAACAAAACAAAAACTTCTGTCATCCTAGTCAAGACACAGGAATAAAAGAACTCTTTAAAAGCCACATGGAAAAGCAGTAGGAAATTAGGAAAGCACTGAGACAGGGAAATCTGATTAGGCAACAACAGTGAGTAAGTATCATTACTGCCCAATGGTCATGAGAGACATGAGGACTAACTACTTATGGTCATGAGACATGAGCACTAACTACTGATGGTCATGAGTACTAACTACTGATGGTCATGAGAGACATGAAGACTAACTACTGATGGTCATGAGACATGAGCACTAACTACTGATGGTCATGAGAGACATGAGGACTAACTACTGATGGTCATGAGACATGAGCACTAATTACTGATGGTCATGAGACATGAGCACTAATTACTGATGGTCATGAGACATGAGCACTAACTACTGATGGTCATGAGCACTGACTACTGATGGTCATGAGAGACATGAGGACTACTACTGATGGTCATGAGACATGAGCACTAACTACTGATGGTCATGAGAGACATGAGGACTAACTACTGATGGTCATGAGACATGAGCACTAATTACTGATGGTCATGAGACATGAGCACTAATTACTGATGGTCATGAGACATGAGCACTAATTACTGATGGTCATGAGACATGAGCACTAACTACTGATGGTCATGAGCACTGACTACTGATGGTCATGAGAGACATGAGGACTAACTACTGATGGTCATGAGAGACATGAGGACTAACTACTGATGGTCATGAGACATGAGCACTAATTACTGATGGTCATGAGACATGAGCACTAATTACTGATGGTCATGAGACATGAGCACTAATTACTGATGGTCATGAGACATGAGCACTAACTACTGATGGTCATGAGCACTGACTACTGATGGTCATGAGAGACATGAGGACTACTACATAAAAGTCTTGGGGAGACGTGAGTACTACTGCCATATGGTCATAGGGAGATGTGAGTATTAACTGCTTCCCTACAGTCGTGGGGAGATGTGAGTTGGGACAGAGGTAGAAAGGAGAAAGGTCACGAAGTGAGAACAGCTGCCCACTCTGGACACAGCACGTCTGAGACATGCTTGGCTATATTATAAGTGATAGGAAATTCTTTGGGCATCTAACTTCCATACCAACCAACCTGCCTGGTAGACACGATTTTATCTACAAAAACAGAAGCCATGTGTACTAATTTGTTATGTGGGTGCTGGTGCAAACAGCCAATCTTACTTGAGGAGCTCACTCTATTAAATAAATGCTAGTCTGTTCTGGGCAGGTGGAGACCAAAGCCAAGAGAAATAAAAAAGTCTATCAAAGAGGCCTCTCTAGAATGAAGTCTTTTATTTATTTGTTATCAGCATTTAAGCAACAAACTGTTTCTGGCTGCTGAGTTTAACAATTGGGCTCAAAGTTTTACACCATTTCAGTTGGAGACACATGGCACTGTTAATGGAGTCCATTTGGGGCAGTAGACCTTTTGTTGGAGTCTTTGGCTCAAAATTCACACAGCTTCATGCCAGGACTTCACAGCATCTGCTGCCATGATTTAGCTATATGTTAGTGGAGGCATAGCTCCAACAAGGAAATCTCCTGCTCACATATATCATGGATTTAACACTTCACTGAAACCATATCTGTAAGCTTTAGGAACCAATGTTCTCCAATAACCTCAAATGTTTCTCAGATTGTCATCTGTTAACCATACAACCTCAAGAAAGAAAGGACTCGACTGAGTTTGGGCCTAAACAATCGCCAGTCTAAAAGACAATCATCCATGTTGTTAAACACATAAGAGACTGCATGAAGATGGGATGGCGGTCAGCTATTTT